TCCAAATGAATGCAAGCAGTTGTGGTCCAAAGCAGTTGTGGTAAAATCGAAAAATTAAAGAAATTTGAAATTTCTCGAGAATGTTTCCCTAGCAAGTTGAAGCAAAATAAAGATACTAAACTGCATTTATTCTGTGATGCATCTATTAAAGCGTACAATGCAGTCGCATATTTTAGAACAGTTAAAGAAGGGCAGGTAGCATTCATTATGGCAAAATCTAGAATTGCCCCAATAAAACAAAAACTAACACTTCTATAGCTAGAGTTGTTAGGAGCATTAACATCAGCAAGACTTGCTAAAAATTTAAAACAGCTGTTTTCAATTCATGAAGAAAATATCTATCTGTGGACTGACAGTATGATAGTGGTTCACTGGATTCATACTGCTCCTGAACGATGGAAAATGTTTGTAAAAAATCGAGTATCTGAAATACAATCATTAACTTGCCCAAATAACTGGAGACATTGTAACGGGAAGTGCAAATTCAGCGCACATTTTATCTCAAGGATGTTCAGCCGAATATTTGTTGTCTTCAAAATTATGGCACTCTGGACCAGATTTGTTAGTTGAATCAGCGAGTGCTTGGCCTAGTAAATTTATTGCGACAATGTAATTTTCTGATGCTGAATTAGAGCGGAAAAAGTGTATAAATGATACCACAATACTACAGTCTATTGCAGAAAAATCTAATTCTCTGTTGAATCTCAAAAATTATGGTAAATTATTATTACTATTAGAGTGACTGCATGGATATTTAGATTTATTTACAACCTGAAAAATAAAACTGACAAGAAAACAGAACCTTTGATTGCAGCAGAACGTTTTGCTGCAGAATTATATTTGATAAAAAGAAGTGCAATATGAACATTTTTCTGATGAAATTAATAGTTTAAAGTCTGGACAATTTATTTCAAAAAACTCAAAAATTTATGAACTAAATTCTTTTCTAAGTGAGGAAGGATTTTTGTTAGTAGAAGGAAAACTACAAAAATCATGTTTAGGTTTTCATGAACAGCATCCTATAATTACTCCTTCAAAAATTCATTTTACAGATCTACTGGCACGTGATGCACATGAACAAGTTCTTTGCACAGATTTAGCTAGCACTCTCATGTTCCTCTGTGAAAAATACTGGAAAATTAGATTCAGACAAAATGTAAAACGTGTTATAAGAAACTGCGTACTGTGTCAGCGTTATAACTTCCAACCGATGGAACAAGGTCATAGCACCATTACCTCCATCTAGAGTTAGAGTGCTAAGACTATTAATCTTATGTGATAGTATATTTCTTACTGAAAATGTAATCTTAATGCTATTTAAAATACTGTATATTTAATATTTAAAGTTAAAAATGTATATATTAGAAAATTCTAAGGTTGTAGTAATGTATAAGTGTATTTAAAATTTAATTTAATTCTGAAAAAAAAAAAAAAGACAGGTTTCTTGTAATAATTCTACTATTTTAGATGGATTATTGAAATGTTATTTGTTTAATATTATCTTGAGTTGTAGACATTCTTGATTTAAATTCCTCATGCTTGAACAGGAATGTTATGACAATAATCCTTGATGAAAGAAAATATACTTGATATTCTTGAAACATATGGTAAGTTTACATGTTCTTGATGTTTATGTGACATTTTCTTGATTGCAAAAACTTGAATTTGTATTGAAATGCATAATTCCTGAAAACGTTCATGTATCACTGATAATCTTGATTATTCTGAACTACTGTTCAGCCGGGAAGAAATTTTATGTGAAAATATATTTTAATCGCCAGAGAGGGCATAAATCTTTCATGATGTATACTTCTTGTTCTTGGATCTGGCAGCGCCAGTTGAATGAGTGTTAGACTTGAATAAACTTAAAAGTTTGAAACCTGATTCGAATGTACATTTACCTTGGTGATTTGTGTACGATTTGAATAAAATAATGTTTCTTGAGATCCGGGATAACATGAAATCTTGATGGTTCTATTATATTATTTTACATCCTCAGAATTTCAAATTTTGATAACCTTTCCTTCTTATTACTGCCATATCAATGCTGAGCAGTGTACATGCTGAAAACGTGAAGAAAGGAAGAGGTTAGAAAACAAATTTTCAGATTACTGCATCTCCCTAGATGCAGAGATGCACACTCTATTCTTATATGCTAATAATCTCCTTTGAATACAGATTATGCAGAGTTTTCTACATCTCAATTAAAAGCTTCGATTACAATTTATTTCAACTATTTTGATCATCTATCCTTAAGTGGTTAGATACTTTTGCACAGAATTCTTTCAAAAATTGGTTTAAGACACAACACTAAAATCAAATTCTTGATTTTCACTATTTTCATTAAAATTAAACAAATTTCAAAATGTAGCATTCTTTTTAAATGTTCATTTGCAGATACAGTCTGCTAAATTTAAAACATTTCTTTTTAAAATTTTATTAAGTAATAATTCATTAAACATTAAATTTCATTGATCTCTTACTTAACAGATGTAAAGTACTATGTAAAAATGAAAAGAATCCTATAATTATTTGTGAAAGAACAAAGCAATGTAGCTCCAAGTTTCCAAGACTGCAAGCATTGTGTTCAAATAATTCACTTTCAACAGACAATTGCTCCTCCAGAATACTATGATCCTCCTTGTAAGAGCCTGGCTGAGCACTGAACTCCAAAATTCCATCTAAAAGTTGGTTAAATTTTTTTGTGAAATTCATATATGCCAGCTAACATTTAAAAAAATATTTAATTTTCAGTGTTTAACATTTCATGTGGAATGCACCTTTTGAGAAAAGAAACATTACAAAAAGGGAATGCCATCTATGCTAGGACAAATTGAAATGACTCTTTGGGTCTTAAATGATTGAGAAATTCAGCAGCATAGTTTCAATAATTACATACTGGAATAGCCACCATTTTAATTTTATGAAGCTCTTCATTAAACAGCTCATTTATTCAAGAAAAGTTGTTACTGATGAAGGTTTCTCTCTTTTTCATTACCAATTGGACATTTTCCAAAATGTTCTGTTCTTCTTAATGGATATCAGTATATTAAAAATGATTATAATCAATAAATTGATTTTTTTTTCTTTTGTTAGTTACAGAATAGCACAGGTTCCTCACTAGTTCAAAAGACTTTCTATTCCACATTTATACGCTTAATAAGGTTTCAATCAATTTCCAGATCAAAGCACCAATTGCAACACTGAATAACACGGCAATCAACCAAAGACAAACCTGAAAATTTTTGCAGGAAAAAACATGAATTTTACATCTCAAATTAGCAAATATATTAATACTCCAGCTTTTTTATTTATTTATTTATTTATTTTTTCTTTAAATTTTTTCTTCAGCTAATTACTCAAAAAGGTATCATCAATCAATGAATTATGTTTCTTTGAATTACATGATTAATGGTTCCAATTTCAACCCACTTGCTTTTACATGCACTTTGCCCAGCATTCATTTCTCATTTTCTCAAAAGACAATATTCAAATTCCTCTATACTATCTTAAAATACTTCAACCTTTAGACTTGGGCAGATTAATTTTTGCTTTTAACCCTTTGGGTAAATTTGATGTATCAGTACATCATGCATTTGTTTGGGCAAAGATGCACATGACATTCTGATACATCATTGAAACTGAGATGAGAGTTAGTTCATTCTGGTTTATTTCAAAGTAATGTTTACCTGCTGCAACAGAACACATAATTTCAGTAGTTTGGTGAACCTTGTTTGGAATACACAACCCCATAATGACTGAGAATATATTTTATCAAAGTGATGATTTACAAGAGACCACCTTTCTTTTTTTTCCCCCAAAACTTTTTCTATTATTTGTCTAGCATACCTGTTTGTTTCTTCTACTATGATATTCCAAAAATCTTCATCTAAACTTCATTTAAAACAACTAATGCTTTAGGATTATCACCTAGCCTTTGCAGGCACAAATTATTGATTGCAAATACTTCAGAAAACCGTTTTACATCAGGTACATTTTCTTCCCAAATACATTCATCTAATTTTTTTTACGAAAAGATTCACTATCACTGCTTGATAAGCATGTCTTTTATGTCTTGGGATAATTTCACTATCATTACCACTTTCTAATTCAATATATTCTTCACTTTTATTTTGAAATTTGCCTTTAATCTCTTAAAGGATCATTATAAACTTCTTCATCAGATTCAAGATCACTATTTTCATTAAAGCTGTTGTTATTACTTTGATATAACATGTTCTCTATTTCTGTCATTATGGTGTTGTATATCACAAACAAGGTTCCACCAAACTACTGAAATTATTTGTTCTGCTGCAACAGATACACATTACTTTGAAATAAATCAGAATGAACTAGCTAACTCTTGTCTCAGTTTCAATGATGTATCAGAACGTCGTGTGCATCTTTACCCAAACAAATGCACGATCTACTGATATGTCAAATATAGCCAAAGGGTTAAATATGCTCCAAATGCAAAATATGTGTACCCAAAGGGTTAAGCAAAGATAATTCTTTATTATTCCTCATTATACAATAATGTTCTCTTTCTTTGGAAATTAATTTCAAACAATAGACTGGATTATTAATAATCCAAATTACACAGGTTATCTGCTCAAGTTCAAAACTAACTTTGACTTAAAGCACGTCAGATGAAATGAGATACACGATACCTCTATAACACATTTCTCAAAAAGACCTGCAGATCAACAAATTTTATGCATCTCGGTTCCTCAAAGACACTACAATCACAACTGCTTATGACTTGGCTTGTCCAGAAACTTAACCAGAACTCAAGCGCTTACAAAGTCAGCCTCTGTAAAACATTAGATGGTATATACTACAGAGCTAATTTTACAGAATAAAATTGAATTTTATTACTTACTAGACCTTTCCCATCTATGATATATTTAAAACCAATAATTACTAACTTATATAAATATATCGCTTAAAATGATGTTTTTATACTTTTCATTACATATTACTTTAAAATAAGCTAATACCTGCATAAAAGGAATCATCCTTCCTATATAAATATGAGCTTCACCATCTACCAAGGCAGCAGGTGAATCTAAAAAAAAAAAAAAAAAAAAAAAAAAAAAAAAAAAAAAAAAAAGATTTGCATGAATAAAAAATACTGCAGTCAAATTAACATGAACATATCTAGTTTATTGCAAGCTTATATAATCTATATTAATAGCAATGCCTTAAGGCAAGTGACTACAATCAAAATATACAACAAAATTTTGATTTACAATCAAAATATATTAAAAATATAAACAAAAAAAAATTGGGAACCACTTCCTGTTCAAATCTGAAAGTAACATTCAATACCCAACCATATAGTTATGAATATAAGTTGATCCATGTGTAAGCCAAGCCCAAAAACTTAAAATTTGAATTTCAAATTATATTATAAATCCAGCTACACTCTGTCCAAAATTATCTTTACATGTATAAAATTACAGATCTCTTAAACTCTCAGAAACAGTTTAATGAATGGTACATAATATCATAACACATAAATACACAGGGGAAAAATTAAGAGCACTGCACATGATATGATATAAAAAAATGCAGCATGACATATCAGAAATGGTAACAATATGTTATAAAGAAGATCCAGAAAAAAAAATAAATAAAATGGAATGTGATCTCCTCTGACCTCTACACACATATCAAAACATGTTTTCATGCTGGCAATGTGCTGACATTATGGAATCCAAAGGTAGATTGTTTTTCGTACAAACCAACGATCACGAAACGAGCTACTTACACAAAGAGAACAGTGTTGTCTGACATTGCTCGCATTTATGATCCATTAGGACTGCTTCGTCCAGGTATAACAAAGAAAAAATCTTCATCCAAAGACTTTGGTTACTGAAACGTGATTGGAACAATCCTCTACCCAAGAAGATAGTTAAGGAGTGGCAACTTTTTATTGATTCCATGCAATCCATCAGCAATTTGCAAGTGAGTAGATATGTTTTAAGACAGTTTTTCTGAGATACAAATTAATGGATTTTTCAGATCATCAGAACACACATATGAAGCAGTCATCTATTTACGCTGTAGAAGTGACAATAATTTATTTTTATATTTGCTTTGCAGCAAGTCCAGAGTAGCTCCACTAAAACCGTTGACAGTACCACGACTGGAACTCTGCGCAGCTGTACAGCTAGCACAGCTTGTTACAAAGGTGGTGCCTTTACTGAAATTGGACATCAGTAAAATATGTCTGTGGTGTGACTCAACCATAGCGTTAGCGTGGCTTCAGAATTCTTCACATGTACTAAAAACTTTTGTTGCTAACCGAGTGTTGAAGATCCAAGAACACAGACATGCCAGTGGAATTACGTGCGTTCAGAGGAGAACCCAGCAGACCTTATTTCCCGAGGACTGAATTTTCACAAGTTGAATGAGGCTGATCTCTGGTGAAAAGGTCCTCCATTCTTGAGGGAAGGTGTTATACCTAGCAAGAACATTGACTTTGAACAATTAGAGAAAACAGAGACATTTTTTAGTGAACTGAGAAAAAGAACTAACATTACTTGTTTATGCACTTCACTTTCCAAATTTATCAATAATGTCCTAGATATCAGTAACAATTACTTAAAATTATTACGTATTATTAGTTATATTTTCAGGTTCATTTAGAACTCTAGGTGTGCAAAACAGAAAAGAGCACAGAGAAGAACAGAAGGGGTAAGTTCAAAGGAGTTTTTAAATGAGCAGAATTCGCTTTTAGTAAGAGAAGTTAAAAAATGTAGTTTTTATTTAGATTACAACTCCCTCGCACAATGTAAACCCTTTAATAATAAAAGTCATTAACTTTCTTTGAATCCTATTTTGGATGCAAATAATATAATGAGAGTAGGAGGCTGATTACAAGAGGCCAATGTAATGTTTTCACAAAAACATATTATAATTTTGCCTGCTAAATGCAAACTCACTAAACTGATTGCTGAGCATTATCATCGGAAATATTTACACGTAGGTCCACAAGCATTATTGTGTTTTATGAGACAGAAATTTTGGCCATTACAAGGTAGGAATTTAACTAGAAATATTACCCGTGAATGCATAATTTGTAGTAAAAATAAACCAGTCACTATCGAACAAATTATGGAGTCATTACCTGCAGAGCGCGTAAATCCGAACTCACCCTTTAACCATGTCTGCACCGATTTTTGTAGCCCATTTTTTATTAGATACGAGGGACAGAGGAAAGGAACTCTGCATAAGGTATATTTAGCTCTTTTCATTTGCCTTATAACAAAGGCAGTGCATCTTGAACTAGTGAGTGACCTCACCACTGACGCATTTACTGCCACCTTAAAGAGATTTATTGCTAGGTGCGGAAAATGCTCAATCATTTTCTCAGACAACGCAAAAAACGTTTGTCAGCGTAAATGCCGAATTAAGAATTAACACTTTAATTAGAAATCCTGACAAAAAATTAGCAGATTATTTAGGTGAAGAAGGAATCGTTTGGAAGTTTATTCCTCCACAGACACCTAATTTTGGTGGACTATGGGAATCTGGAATTAAATCCGTGAAACATCACTTAAGGCGGATTGTAGGTAATGCAAGGCTGACTTTCGAGGAGTTATTAACTGTAGTAACTCAGATAGAGTCTGTTTTAAATTCTCGCCCTATTACTCCCTTATCTTCCGATGTAAATGATTTAGAGGCCTTAACACCAGGCCATTTTCTCATTGGAAGACCCTTGAATGCTATAGTAGAACCCGAATTAAACGATATACCTGAAAACAGGCTCTCGATGGAAACGAACTACCAGATTTGTCCAACTGATACGGAATCATTGGTTGTTACTTAAAACACACTACCACAGCGTTCAAAATGGAAGGTAGAACAAACAAATATTAAAATAGGTGTGCTAGTACTAGTTAAGTTTTTAATTAAAGTGATTATTTGATTAATTTCATGAGCTGATTTATTTTGTTAATTTTACTGCTCACGATTACACAAAGTTTGACTTATGCTGCAAAATTTGTAGAGACATTAAGTATTTTTATTGGAAGCAGGATACTTGAAAAATTAGCAATGCCTTCGCCGGGAATCGAACCGCCGACCTCTGGAATACGTGCACAACGTGCAGACCCCTACATCACGCTAAGAAGATGGGAGAAATACCTTATATACCTCCCCTTTTAAAGAACAACTGGGGCTTTTAGGGGATCCAATTGCCAAATCCTGGGTGTGGAGAATCATCATGCACCACCTTTTTAATTCAGGCGCCACTGTAGAGACATTAGGCAATTTTTTTTTTGACTGGTTGGTTGCTTGACTTTTAATGGCACGAAACCTTGAAGGTTATTATGCACCAGACGAACGGTGAATAAAATCCAAAATGTATAAACACACTGTATCAGATGAATTGTATTTTTTTAATTTTTGCGGGGGGAGCAGAAGAGAAATTAGCAACGCCTTCACCGGGAATCGAACCGCAGACCTCTGAAATACGCGCCCAGCATGCAGAGAACTATTCCACGAAGGCGGAAGAAATACCTTACAAATTTAATAAAATAATTCATCCACCTTCATTTAATTTTTATTTAATTTCGTTTAATCTTATCGCGAAGTCTCAAAATGTATACACAACGTTAAAGTTTGTTTTATTCTCTCCTTTTTAAATCTCCCATTCTTCTTCCCATGTAATTCATACGTATTAATTAATACCACATCGGTAAGCCCAAAAATTTAAACAATCTTTGTTTTGCAAATTTTAAGGAATTTTAATTGTCCTTTTCCTCAAATAATCATGAAATACGAAAGACAAATACCCAATGTCCAAAATACCCAAAGACATTACTAAGGATTACTTATTATACAGTACCTACAGTTAGGAACCATTTACCTCCACATCAAAAGATTACAGTCAGCAGAAAGAGAAATACACATAACAGTTAATAACAAAAGAACTAAAGGGAGCCACATGGCTTGAGAAAGTTTATGATGAAATAATTCTAAATATCATATGATTTTTTGCATTTTTAAGATTTTAAAACTTTTTTTGTGTTTGCATTCATATTTTGGGGGTATTTTTATTTTTACTTCCTTGTACAAAGCAAAAAGGAAGTATTGTAATCATGAAAAGTTTCAGGCAACATATTTCAATGAAAATATCCATTTTGACCGCTATCGAATGCAATTTAACGATGTTTTTGCATGACATCTGTACGTAAGGACAGAATAAAAGACTCTTTTCCTCAAAAAATTATAAAACTGCTTTAAAATTAATTCTGAAGAGAATTTTTCGTAACGTCTGTGGGTACTCACGTATGTACGTATCTTGTATAACTCAAAAACGAGTAACTTCAGAACTTTGAAATTTTGTACATAGGACTGCTACAACATGTAGATATGCCCATCGTATTTTGGTTGCAATCGGCCACACCAAATGTAGATAAATATATTTATTATATATCCACTCTGTTACCCAGTTCAGTGATCTCAGTGTCTTTACTCTTATATGTTTGTAAATTGTGCATTTTCTGCTATAAAAATGATTGAATTATGTTGTTCTTATCTTCCGGTTAAGGTTTTTATGCCTTTAGGAAATCTGCAAGCAATATTTGTACAATTATCAACAATTTAAAAGCTGTTTAAGTGCACTTAAGCCTAATTTTTAAATAACATGGCGGACATATTTGTTTACATTTGAAACAGCAGAATAGATTTGTTGCCAATCTAGAGAGACTAAGCTTCGCAACAACAAAGATAATGCCTTCATTTTTTATTGCAAATTAAACTATGCTTAATCCTTTCTGGAAATTTTTCGAGGAAATAAGTGTTTAAGATTTAGTTTGAAATTTTTAATATAGATATTTTGAGTTTTTATGTATTTTTTCCTTGACGCGAAGTGAGAACTGAATTAATTGAATGAAAAATACTGAATCATCTGTGAAAAACTGTTTCTTTTTTATTTTTGTTTGCTTAACTTCTTTTATACATCATTCTAGATTTATCATAGTATTTGAATAGAACATGTGGCAATGATTAGATAATTCCTCAAATGATATAAATTTTGTGCATTCTGAGTTATAATATGAACGAAATATAATGTTGTTAAGTGAACCTAGCGCCAGAGTGTCACTATAGTAAACAAATATAGTGAATTTTAAAGAGTGCATTTATTCTATTGTGGTTTATGCGCTATTGACGAAGTAGATTTAATTCAATAAGTTTAAATGAAATGCAAGAAAAAATGCGTATAATTTAGTATTCCATACAAGGAAGTCATGTGGTGTACACATCAGATTTTTCTAATATAGTATGCCACTAAAGACAATATCAGGTTCATTTTTTAAACGTCCTACATAATGAAAGTGTGCACAGACTGAAAAATGTCACACATAATGAACTCTGTTTTGCATTAAGAACAGCATATGGATTCTGTGGCATACTAACTGAAAAACTAAATTTGTTTTACTTCGTGTTTGTGTGGCACATAAATTTTTTTAAAAAAAATATGTATAAACATGCATGAATGCAGAAAATAAAAGGAGAAGGGAAGAATTTCTTATTTTTTTACTCTACGGAGTATAGTAATCTTAAGTTTCCAAACAGTTATCATTCAGAAGACAACCTGTTAGTGGCTAAAATACTAAAGCCACTGGTTATCTGACAATCATGTAATCTCTAGATGAAACTTATAGATGACCAATTTGTTTCATCTGGAGGCTTGATTCCCACACGAAAGGACTGCCCACATATGGCCATCAAGCATATTACAGGGTGTACCACTCGAAAGAGGTCCCACAAACATTTGCTTAATTTACACTTAAATGCTTTGCATATGAATCAGTAAATAAAATAAACTGCACTCCGCAAGTATTGTACATCGCTGTGGCTTGAGATTGAGCTCACTGTTTAGTGTTTCATGACAATGTATCACTATTCTGTCGAAAAGTGTGTGTTTAGTGTGAAACAGTATTGGATTACTGGTTCCATTACGACATGTCCGCGAATGTTTGTTGAACGGTTTGGTGACCAACATATACCATCTAAATGCTGCATGCAAAAGTTAGGTGAACAAGTTTGAGAGCAATGGAATGGTGCTGGATTTTCACAGCGATGGTCGGTCACCATTATTGGAAGAAAAAGTGACTGACACGAAACAACGATTGATGGCCTCTCCTGCAAAGTCTGTTCGACATTTATCTCGGAAATGTCACGGAGCACATGTCACAGTGCTGCAAGGAAAGCCGGTATATAACCATACAGGTTTACAGCTGTTCAGGAACTGCATGTCAATGACTCTACCTCTCTGGCTAAACTCTCAGTATACACATTTGTGGTGTAACGAAAATCTACATGCACTGGTCGAGCAACCACTGCATTCACAAAAGATTGCAGTGTTTTGTGCAATATCACAGCGTCACATCATCGGACCAATTTTTGTTTAGTCTACTGTGACAAATGCAAGAAAAAATGAAATGCAAGAAATCATCATTACATCAAACTGTTTCGAGAATTTGTAAACCAGTTGGACAATGAAGAACTTACCCTCGGCTGTTACTAACAAGGTGGTGTCGCATGTCTTGAATGTCCATGGCTAAGGTCGAATCCTTTTTGCCCAGCAGTGATTTTGAAAGGACTGCGGCCCCCAAGATCAACTGATTTAACACCAACTGACTTTTTCTTCTGGGGTCACCTAAACAGCAAGACATACAAGAACAAACCTCAAAACTTGGAAGATTTATGAGAACATCATTTTTGTGAAATCTAGGCGTGATACCTGAGGTTCTGGCAGCAACATTCGAGAATCTGCAGCATTGTGTTCAACTCTGTTTACAAGTTGAAGGCGGTCATTTCCAGCACCTTTTGTTATTCACCTTTATTTTCCCATGAATAAGGTACGACATGCTCATTTTATTTATTTCCTGATTCTTATGCAAAGCTATGCGTAAGTTACGTGTAAATCAATCAAATGTTTGTGGGGTCTCTTTCGAATGGGACATCTTGTATAAATATGAGCTGATTTCTCTTAGAAAGACCTCTACAGAATTATTATCCACGAAACTAAGACAGCTAAAAATAAATTTATTGATTGATTCCACAAATGTTTGTAACTTACGAGAATATAACTAGACTATCTCAGTCATCAATTCATTCATTCCCTTGCAATTTAAAAGTATCAATTGATGCTTCCAGTTACTTATGTCATATACTATGAGATTTTGTCAGCTTTAACATTTCTTAACTGCAATATTTTCTGAATTGAAGAAACAGACATCACTGGCAAAATAGCACTCAAGAATTATTCTCCCTATGAAAATATTTTGTATGCTAAAGCTTGGACAATATATACTGTAACTTACCTCCTTCACCATAGAAAAGAACAGCTGGAAAATATTTCTCTTTTGCTTCATAACAGAGATGATCCATTTCACAACATAATACAGCAAGAACAGAGATAACTTTGTTTAGCACTTTATTATCAGTACATATCAAATCCAGAACTGTAATTCTTTCACAAGGCAAGAGCTATAAGAAAATTAAGATGATAACAGAAGACTAATCTGATAATTAATAGCCTAAAATAATTTAGAACTACGATAAAAATGTAACTACTTATGCAATTCCTTTTCTTAAAAAATTTTAGAATTATATACCTGAAAAAAAATTTAACTTTTAAATTTGTTCACTGTAACAGTTAATTCGACTATCAATATACAGTTCACTGAGTTTTTCAGTCAAAATTTTATGCCAATGAAACTGCTGGTAACTCTTCTAATCACAACCTTTAAACTAAAAAGGTTTATTTAGAATCTGTACTGCTTTTCCAAATTTGACTGATTCTAAAAATGAATATAACTTTTATTGCTGCTATCTATAACCTTGACTACAGCTAGCAATGTCTATGAAGATTCCTCTAAATTAGTGGTTCCCAAAGTGGTTCCTACAGGCCCTCATTGGTCCTTATGACCTCTGAATGGGGTCTATAGAAAATTTAAATTAATTTGGGGCTGCATGGACGATGTCAGGAGGTCTGAGAATAGTCTAACAAAATAAATGCCATCCATTTCTATTATTGTGAAAGTTAAACAGCAATAAACTATATGGAAGCAATTTTTAGATCATGATTAAAATAAAACAAATTATGTCCCCCCCCCTTTTTTTCAGATAACCACATGAATGAACCGACAGAAAAATGCATACAACATAGTGTTGAATATTTAAAATATGACTTTATTCCATTATTAGGATATAGTACCTATATGCCTCCTGTGCAATAAAATTTGTCAAACTAATCAATGATTCTTGAGGAACATTTGACAGAAGTCCACAGAGACAAAAAAGATAAAGATTTAACTTTTTTTAAAACAGACAACGGAAAATATTTGAAAATACTGCTACTGTGACAGAATGTAGACAATGGACTCCATGCTTCTTATAGCATTTCTTTACTGACTACAAAGTTGGAAAGCCGCACCATTGGTGAAGAACTTATTCTACCAGCTATACAAACAATTAAAATTAAAAGAATAATATCTGCATTTATTGCAAAGCGTTTTCAATACAAACAAAACTTGTGGACATGAGAATGTTCTCAGTTTCCAAATCTTTCAAAACTTCCAAAACAAAGTGAAAATTTACTTGCTTATTGTCAACATTTAATTGGCCATTCGACCTCAGCCAAAGATTCTAAACCATTTTTCACTTCATTATTCCTGACTGGCTATAGACCTTTCTCAAGTAGACCCACATTCTCAGATGAATCCATACTAATGCAGGAAAATTTATTAAATTATTCACAAATAAGGAGCTGAAAATTTGAACAAGGATACTATAAATTCTAATTGCAAAAACAGATACCAATTTTATATCCTATATTATGGGCCAAAATAGAAAAGTTGTTGATTGCTTTCCTATAACTTACTATTTAGTAGAACATTGATTGAGAACATTTACAAGCCTCATCATGAAAAACAGAAACCGATTGGAAATTAGTGCTCATACAGACTTACAAATGTCATTCACAAACATACAGTTGAACATAAATAACATCATATCATCACATCAGGTTCACCCATTTCATTGGTTGGGTGGTGGGGGGGGAATATATGTTTTTGTATTTTAAAACAACATAATTTCAATAAATACTACTTTAAATGTCAGATGTTTTATTTAAACATTACTTTTGTGTCACCATTTACCATTCAAGACATTTAAATTTGTAATTTTCTATTATGCACTTATATAGAGTTATTTCACTTGGGTATCATGGTTAGCTGTCAGAGTTTGAGAGGGAGACTATTATTGGGATGGTGGAAGCCTGGTGGTCTGCCTGATCAGTAAGTAACCTACCAACTTAGCTATTCTGACTTTAATGTAACGAAGTGTTGGCACCAGTGGATAAGACAGAAGTCACATGTTCAGGAGGCACGGTCAGGATGCCTTCAGACAGCAAAACACCCGAGAGGAACACCACATCACAACACGCATATATGGCAGCAATTGCACCATTGACTGTCATCCAGATACAGATAGAACTTTAAGTACAGACCCCTGTATCTGTGCACAGCATAAAGAGGCACTTGGCTGAAGGACATTTGGTATTGCAATGCCCATTACATACATCATTGCCTCCTTTTGTAGTGCTGTGGCACTCATCAGAGTTAAACCACATGCAAATGTAACCAGGTTGTTTACAGCAACAAATTAAGATTCAATTGGGGCTGTGATGACAGCTGTGTACATATGTGAAGGTTCTGTGGTAAATGTCTTAATCTTGCCTTTGCTTTATTATGGTGTATTGTTCTCATAGCTGATGTATGGTATGGTGTCATCCATGGCACCATGACATGTTCATGATATTCTTCAGTTCTGTGTTGCCACTGGTCACAGGGCTTTCACAAGACATTTTTCAATGGGATTGACCAAACATAACAAGATGTCACACGAATGCCTCTTCCACATTACCATACTCCCCTGATCTGCCCATTTCCCAGATTTGTCATTGATCGAACACGCTTGAGATCCCTTGGGACAGCCAGGTTGGACAGGCTAGGAGTTTGGCGGAATTACAAGTGTACTTATAGTACGTATGAAATATAACAGAGAATACTGTATCAGACTTGTATGCCTCTACGTCCACCTGTATTACATTGTGTATTCACGACAGAGGTGGCACAATGCGGAACTATAACCTTTATCCATTTGTAATGGTCCTGTAGCTTCAATTCCATAATTATTTATTTATACCAAAATTTCACTCAAATATCTAAAAATCCATTTGATTATTAGAACTCTTTTTTTTTTTTTTTTTTTTTTTTTTTTTTTTTTTTTTGGAGCAAAAATTTTTATGGCTATGAATAGGTTCCCCCCCCCAGCCATTTTTGATCCTGCTTCTTCACTTCAAAAGAAAACTTGTAAAACTGCTCAGCAAGTTCTTATTATTCCAGTAATAGACAGGTGAATTCTTAACTGCTTTCAAACAAAGCAAAGTATTCGACTGAAGATGCGCTATTTTCAGAAATTAAATGGTTGGCAAAGAGCTTGGAGATACCTTTCCAATGCCCGAGAATTCTTATTTATAGTTTTCTGGATGTTGAGCAGATATATTGAGTTACCGTGCATTGTGAAACTAAACAGTACATAGACCTGAAATATCTGCTCTTTGATACTTACATTAGTGACAACTTTACTTACTCAGAAATGACTGCAGAAGCTTGTTTATTGGTTTTCTTGGTGAGTTTTCTACAAAATCAGAAGAATATCTACTATTTTCAGCAATTTATTGAAAAGAAAGAGTCAACCGGATTACTACTGGACTGACAGTTGGTTTATGACAAATTCTAGTCTGAAGAGAAATGCCGTTTTTTAAAATTGAAAGATCAAGAAATTGAATACTATCATTGACTTCTGCATTGACTGCAAGCTGCAAATTGGGTACATTTCTTGAAATAAAAGATAAAGCTTTAAATTCATTTTCTGAATATTTCCATCCCATAAAAATATCACCCATATACCTATCCCCCCAAAAAATAGGTTTTCGGGGCACTAACAAAAAACAAAATTTTTCCACATGTTACATATAAATTTCGATACTCTTCTCTTATCAGGACCAGATTCAGAAATGTACGTATGTATACACATGTGTATGCATGTATGTGTGTATATGTATGTGCACACACACACAGAGTATGTATGTACATATATACATGCATACATAAGCACATACAGTGGATGGACAAAAATATGGAAACACCTTGTGAAATGCATGTTTGAAAAGAAAGATAGATTTTAATGAAATATGTAGGTGGCACTGGCGTTTTTGACTACTGACACCACCTATACAACTTCGTAAATGTGCTAAACAGTTCACTTGTTGTCGGAGTACTGTTATGTGAGGTTGTCATTGCATTATGTCAGAGTTAACAGACTTCGAACATGGGCAAATTGTTGGAGCACGCATGGTAGGTGCTTCCGTAAGCAAGGTAGCCGAGGTGTTTAGTGTTTCAAGAGGTACTGTATCGAAGATTTATTCCGCATATTTGAAAAGCGGAAAAACATCATCTGCTAAATCACAGCGCGGACGAAAGTGTGTCCTGAGTGATCGTGACAGACGATCATTAAGGGCAATTGTGACGAAAAATAAGAAGACCACAGCTGCAAAAGTTACTGCTGAAATGAATGTTGTGTTACCGAACCCTGTGAGTACCAAAACAATTAGAAGGGAGCTTCATAAACAGGGAATTGCTGGCCGTGCTGCAATTGAGAAGCCACTCATCAGTGATGCTAATGCCCGTAACAGGAAAAGGTGGTGTTTAAGTCATAAAGCCTGGACTATAGAGCAGTGGAAGCGAGTAATATGGTCTGACGAGTCTTCTTTCACATTGTTTCCCACTTCTGGCCGAGTTTACGTCTGGAGAACGCCATCTCAAGCCTATAATACAGACTGCTTGTTGCCAAGAGTGAAACATGGCGGGGGTTCTGTTATGGTTTGGGCAGCCATATCGTGGTTCTCTGCTAGCCCCATGATAACTGTGTCAGGGCACATGACTGCCAAGACTTATGTGAACATTTTGGCCGATCAAGTTCATCCCATGGTACAAACTTTGTTCCCCGATGGTGATGGTGTCTTCCAAGACGACAAAGCCCCTGTTCACACAGCTCACATTGTCCAGGACTGGTTTTCTGAGCACGAGGATGAGTTGTCCCATCTCCCCTGGCCACCACAGTCACCAGACCTGAATATTATCGAACCTTTGTGGTCTACATTGGAACGGAAAGTGCGTTCTCGTTATCCACCGCCAACATCGTTATCTGAACTTGCCACCGTTTTGCAGGAAGAATGGTATAATATTCCCTTGGCAAACATACAGGAACTGTATTTATCCATTCCGAGAAGACTGCAAGCTGTTTTGGATGCCAACGGGTTTCCTACACCATATTAAGCAAAGAAACATGTTTTTTTAAAGGTGTTTCCATATTTTTGTCCAACCCCTGTATCCTCCATGTGCATAATACAAAAATCAACT